TCTCAATTCATTTCAAAAATGTTATCTTGATAATTTGAGTGATCCACACTGCTGAAACACGGTTCAAATAAAAAGACTATCCATGGCTGAAAATAACATTTACTGAGTGTATTTCGTTGTTTTTCAGCAAACAATGTATGTATGTTATTGAGTAATGTGAAACTTGTTATAATAGATAAAATAAAATATTGCATACTTCAATATAAGTGTTGTTATTTTGTGGGAGAGCGGCTCTGGCATCATCAATACTATGGTCATGACCATCATCCCTTGGGCAGGCAACAAATCGTGATATTACCCTCACAAGCATGTGTTATTATTTAACTCATCATTCACATCTGTTCATCTACTAATGGGTCATCACAAGATAGAGTAACCCTGAAACCTTGCTCACACATTCTCATCTCAGGATTAAACATCAAACTTAGGGTCAATAAAAGCCCTCTGACTCTGAGCTAAACTATTCACACATGCTTTTCAACGATAGGCTACAATTAACTTGAATTTTGCTACATGTGTCAACACTGTTGCAGGTGCAAGTAATCTGTAAGATATCTTGTAACAAATCTTACCTTCAACAAGTTCACCATCAGGACTTTGCATCTCAATTTCTATCGTGAACGGAGTCCCTTGTACCATTTCACGTACAGGATCACCAAGAATAACAATGTGATCAGCTTCCACAGCGGGGCGGCCATTGATCCACAGACCTTCATATGTCATACCAGAAGAATGAATGTAAGTTCCTTCACCGTTAAACATGTCATTTCTCCACTGACCCTGTAAAGTAGAGAAGCAATACCTGACAATTAAAATCTCTGTATCATTGGAGCATGTGTGATTCTAATATTATTGCCATACATAACTTCACCAGATACAGTGATCAAGGGTGTGTGTACTAGCACAAAATTTCAGAAAACATTTTTGAATTTTTCCACCATTTTTGTTATGCCAGTATACCCATACTGAAATGAATTTCTCAATAGAAATATTTCCAATTGCTCATGAACGTTTTTCTTAGTGAAAAAACAACAACTGATGTTGCCAGATTTTATGAAACAAATTGACATCGTGATTAGAAGTCTGATTAGAATTAGTGGAATTACACACAGAAGTTAAACCTTTCAAAATCTGCACTGAGCTGTGATTATTATGATATACTGTGGAATACTTTATTTTCGCTGGAATTAATTTTCGTTGAAAAGGCTTTTTGGGCATCTTTTATGGAATTTATTTTCACTGATTTTTGATGAGTTAAATGTGAAATATAGGAAAAAGAGTATATTCACTGGATATTATTTTCACGAAATCATTCCCTTCAGCGAAAATAGCGAAAATAAATTCAAAGCGAAAATAATGTATTCTACAGTATTTGATGACCAGAATATGTGTGAATTGCAGGGAATATAAACAATTATTAAATGCAACTGAAGGTACGTGTACATGTATGAACATTTGTCTCCCTGGCACAGCTGTCATCAGGAAAACTAATCTTCATACAATGTATACCTTGCACCTTGGTGAATAATTGACACATTTGGAAGACAAGTCTTCATATACCCTGCAGATTATAGTTATAAATTGTTTTGTCATCTTGAATTTGGGAGTTGTCAAAATTGTGTACTTGGTCTCAGCTGAAAGAACGTCAACAACCTGGCACAAGAGTTCTGAGACAGCAGTAAGGTACAAGAAGATATTATCCTGTTTTCAGTGTGTTCATTGACAAAAGATATTTTGGATGTCATGTAGTCATCTGCCGACCCTGTTGCACTTGTTTACATATTCAAATTGTATACTTCATTTGTGTTACCGGCGATTACAGGGGACATGATTTTGTTAGCTGCTCATGTTTCAGAAGTAGAAAATCAGCATCAGTATTGACAATATTGTTTTGATTGTCGAGTAAGAGTTCTATCTGTACTTGGTTGGACTTTCAACATTTCTCATTTTGAAATCAAAATTTGCTCCAAATTTGGCAACTAGCTTGGTGTGATTGAGTGATTTATCCTATGTACAGATGCAATGTCGGCATGATTTGCGTATTGAGGAGTATATTTTGATTTATTCCCCCAATGAGAATAAGAGATGACAATGAGAATTAGTTAAGATTTATAGTCGCTGTAATTTGAATCAGAGGTGAATTTTTCATGAAAATGAATTTAGAAAAAAGGTGCCTTCAGGCAATGTATCAACATAGAAATTCAAAGAAGCAATCAAATAGCAAGGCGAAATGATTAGCAGCTTTCAGACACATTGAGTGATAAAAAAAATTTGAAATGTTCAGTGAATAGTCACAAGTTTTTGGAATGATCTCAACTTTACTTTCACAGTATATATTTAATAACATTATGTGAACTGATAATGTACTTACATCATAAATTGTTTTATCTGCAAAAGTTATTTCTCCACTTCCTTGCCTGTAACCATTAATCCAGTCACCTATGTATCTGTCACCATTGCTGTAAAGTCAGAAAGAATGTAAGAAAAAATTCAGTGAGAAATAATAAGAATGATGCACTTACTGTAAAATACTTTATTTTCACTGAAGGAATGATACAGTGAAAATAAAATCCAGCAAATATACTTTTTTATCTATATTTTACAGTCAGCTCTTTAAAAATCAGTGAAAATAAAATCCACACAAAACACCCAAAAAGTTTTTTCAGCGAAAATTAATTCCAGCTAAAATAAAGTATTTCACAGTATGAGAAAACATACCCTATACTACTGAAAAAGTATAGCAAAGTATAGATCCTTTTTAGACCAGTCTTAAAACAGCTAATGTTTGACGTGTGAATTAATTACTTCAATCTCATTTATAATGTTTTGCACAAAAAAGTGGGTGAAGGTGGTTCCATAAACAAGCATGTAAAACAATTACTAACATGGCCGAGGGAGAAGATGTGCTTTAACTTGTAGCCAGGTTATTAGGTGCAGTATGTAAGAGTCAGTTTGAGTCACACACACAGTACATGTTTACTTTGATTCAACATAGTATTTACATTGCCATTTATTCGGTGTTATTTACTTGTTGTTATTAAATCAGTGTTTGAATAATTGAAGTGAGTTTAATATATGGCAGTGAATTCTTATGTTTTTCCTTTTAAAATCTGTCATCAAACCATTAATGGTTGATTACAGTGACAGTAGCATCTTCTGTGCAGCGTTATTGATACTCACAAATACTATATGAAAAGTGAAATGTGGTTTATTTGAAGACTCAAAATAAGTCATATTTCAATTATGATCCAATATAAAATAAATTTTCAATTTTTGGTTTATGTGCTATTCTATTGGACACAAACTTACAGTAAATGCAGTAGTAGGCAAATTGACTACAAACTCTTGTGCCAGTGTATTAGCCCAACTTGACTAGTAATTATTTTACCCAAGTTACCACTATGTTCGAACAAACTTGGAACAGCAATGAGTGACAGGAACCATTGTAGCAAAGCGACCAATAATAACTTAGTTGATGTGCAATACACCAGCTTTCAATCAGCGCAATTCGATAGTTACAAGAAATGATTTTCATAATATATTGGTGTCCTACATAAAGCAAGTACCGGTAACAGTTGTGGGTAAAATATTAAATGTCAGGTTACTTACACGTATGTTTGTTGACCCTCACCATGTCTTTGGTTACTGTGAAATGAGCCTTCATACATGCTACCATCTATCTCTATAAGAACACCATGTCCTGTGAATATGAAGGTTGAATAGATTGACAATCACTACACAAATACATGTATACACAAAAGTTTGTGTATTAATAACACTCTCAGTCCCTGGCTGAAAAACATTTTCAATATTTAGTGGGTCTTTACGTCATTGGATAGGGTTTGGTAATAAAAGTACCTGTTCCAGACAATGAAACCGTAGATGAGTCTGATGAGAGATCACTTCATTCGTAATTATCCTTAAATTGAACACTGTAGAACAAATTTGTTTTACAGCATTTGCAACTAGTAACTTTTCTTCATCTTAAAAAGGCATGAGTTGAGCCAATACTTTTTTTCAAATTTTTTTTAATTCATTCAAATACTGAGCTAAAATGCACACATGCAGTAAAATTTTAGGAAGTTCATGCTAAACATATGCAAACAGAACCCTGACGCAGCTGTAAATTGAGTTTTTGGTTGACCATAAATATAATATCATAAATAAATGCAATATTATGTGTTACCTCACTTGCTACAACAAAGATAATACAATAAGCAAATAACACCGAATAAATGACAAGGTAAATACTAAGTCAAATTATAGTAAACATGTACTGCGTGCAAGACTCAAACCGACGCTCGCGTACGGCACCTAATCGTCTAGCTTCACGCCACTACACATCTTCCCCTCGGTCAGCGGGCATCCTCCAAAAAGGATGCTTAGTTAATACAATTATACTTTAAATAATCTGCACAAATTTTAATAAATACCTTCTTTTTTATTACTTTGAAATTCGCCTCTGTATTCCATACCATTAGCATATCGCATAACGCCATGGCCATGCAATTCTCCATTGAGAAAGTGACCAGAGTAAACATTACCATTATGTGACCAATATCTTGTACCATGACCTTCTATTTCACCATGGATAAACTCACCCTCATAATATGAACCATCTTTCATTACTAACTTCCCGTGTCCTGTTGAGAAACAAAAACATTTTTTCAACACTGTCTCTATGTGCTCAATATGGGTAAGACAAAGCAAAGAAAAACATAAAAACAAGGTGAAAGTAAAGCAACTTGAGGTGCATGTCTATGGACTTGATAAAAATGTTTAAAATGTACTTAAAGTATGTTTGAGAGATGATGAATTGTTGGCGATTTGTGTTTTGTTTTTGTCATTATATCAAGTCATTACATATCATCATGAATTGTTTAGCCTCTTTATTGGCACAGATGTATCTTGGTATTCTATCGATGTACTTAATAAAATCATTGCATTCAAAAGTAACGGACATGTACACCATATAGATATAGAAAATAGCCAATAATCAACAATATTTGGTCAAATCACAAAAAACAAAACAATGTGCATCTGTAACCCAATATAAATGATTATTATACCAACTTTGATTAAAATTGGCCAGTTATCTCTGAGAAACAGCTCTGGACATGTAAAAATGATGATTTAAAATTTGTACATAAATTGGCTGCCATATTGAATCAATCACAACAATAATGTTGGAAACGATGTATCTCTCGGTCTTCTATTTATGTACTAAGATTAATATTAAACAGAAAAAGTAATTGCAGAAATAGAGAATAGAGAAAATGGCATGGAAACCATAAAAAAAAATGGCCACCAGCCTGCAATATTTGATCAAATCACAAAAAAAAAAAAGTTGATTATTCAAGAAACAATTTCATGCAACTGCAGAAGAAAGCAATGACCTAATAAAATGTGTCATTTGGTAGATTATATCAATACATTGATGTTACTGTTCTTGCTTGTTGCATGTTGGCAGATACAAGACATTTATGCCTTTACCTTTACTATCTAGTATGACTGACACTCATATGATAGATGGGATATAAACTGAATCCAGTATATTTGTGTTGAATGAGATCGGTCAAGGAATGTCAGAGATATGGCCCTGGAAATTTGTTAAAACAAAATGGCCACCAGTCAGCCATTTAGCCATTTTTAATCCATTCTAGAGAAAAAAAATGATGCGCATCAAGGATAAATTATGTTCAATTAACATGCCATGTTTGAATGAAATATGCCCATGTATGACTGAGATCCGAAATGTCAGAATGCTTGATTTTGATGAATTTTTAACACTAAAATGACTGCCATTCGGCCATCTTGAATTGCGTCATGAAACAAATATACATGCATATGTACATTTGTATGATATGATGTGTGTGTGTCAAGCATAGAAGGCTCTCTCACTCTTTATAAGATCTCAACGGCCATTTATGTCATGTCTATTGCATCATGGCTGATCTTAAATTAGTGGTAAGGTCATCTATTCTACCGGTAATTTAAAATGGTCACAAACAAGTCTTGATTTGATTTTTGTACAGCCATTAGCAATCATTACTTACCATGTTTTCTGCCGTCTTTCCATTCACCTTCATATCTATAGAATGAATTAGGATAATTATATACACCATATCCTACAAAAAAGAGATTGTATATAATTTAGCAATGATTAAAACACAGAAACATCAGCATCATTGAGACAATACGATTTTTTCAGCACAAACTATCTGAAACACCCAAATAATTAATAGTGTTTTTTTTTCAAGAGCTCAAATTGAAATACAAATAGAAATTATTTTTTGGGTCCATTCAATAAATAGTGACTGGCAGCTAGTTAATACCTACTAGAAATATAAAATGATTTGGATTGATTTGAAATCTGAGGGAATAGTTCATGCTTACAGCACAGTGACTGGCAGCTTTTTAAAGTTGATACCCATTAGAAATATTAAGAATTTAGGGTTATCGATTTGAAATCTGAAGGAATTGAAAGAATTTGTGGGTTATTTTACATTTTATTCACATATGCCTAACAACAATTTTTTCTTTTCAGGTTTTTCACAGTTATTATTGTTATATTTTTTTTCTCTTCACTCGTGACAATTTTCTTGTCAGAATGTTCCCCA